GACCAAAAAAGTTGGGAATCAATATCGTAGTGGAAAGAGCATTGGATGACTGAGTCAAAGGCCTTGGTTTTGAAACCTAGCTCTGCTATGTATAATTGAGTGATCTTGAATACACAGGTTACTTCACTTCTCTAGGATTCTTTTTTCCACATATGTAAAATCTCTAAGATGCCTCCCTAGCTCTGAAACCTCTGAAATCCTTTTAGACAAATTAATCACCATATTAACTGAAACGGAACCTGTTCTTTGTGCCATTATCTTATCAGTGCAATGAAATGCTTCTACTCAAAATAGCCAATTACAGGATGTCAGAGAGGAAAAGGGAAATTAATCACTAGCATTCACAGAGAACATCCCTCTCTGTGGATTTGCCCTGGCCATCCCCCATGCCTAGAACACCTTCCCTCCACCCCTTCCCTTCCTGGCTTTGTTCAAGATTCAACTCAAATTCCCAAATCTACCAGAGGCCTTCCCCAGAATCCCTCAGCCCCACCAAGTATCTTCCCCTCTGAGGTTACCTGCCATTCAACTTGGATGTATGTACTTATTTGCATGTTGATCATCTCATTAGAATATGAGCTCCTTGAGGACGGGATCTATGGATTATCTGTTTCCCCAAAGCTTTAACACAGCGCTTGACAAAACATAGCAGTAATAAATTCTTGACATGCTACCGTATTGACCACACATCTTCAACTGTTTTTATCTATTCAAAATTAAGATTAAAAGGACAATAGATTGTTAAACTATTGATATTTTATTGCAAAAAATGACCTAATGGTAAAAAAGTTTTCTCTTCCATGTCTTAATAGGCAATACACCTTTAAGAAAATTCAAAGTATTGTTTTGAAATCTTCTCAAAGTTCATAAGAGTACCTGTTGATTGCTTAAAATTCAGACATGCCTGCCAACTGACCACAAGAAGGGTCACAGGGTTTAAAAATGTTGGCACAATTTAAAGAAACACACACATGCACAAAAAAAAAACTGTACACTTCTCAATGCCAGGGGAAACAAAAATAATTTATTTAAAATCAAGCTTATGTAATCACTAAGTTCTATTTTTTCACATTTGCAAACAGAAAATACTTTATAAACATTAAGGCACTACATATATTTATTATTTCCCTCAACCCCTCTCCAGTTCTTAATTCAGATCAACCTAAGTTTGTCATGACTCAGGCTGTCTTTATCTAATTTAGAGCCTTCTTAGGATCTAACATGTAAAAAAAAAAAAAATCCCAGAGTATCTCAGAGCATTGTTGGGTATCTGTAATGTCACTTCTTTAGTAAAAGTTCCAACTGCACCATCATTTTAAATTCCCAAGTTCCTAAAATATCACCGTCTCACGTGTCTACAAATCATGGTTACTGTTTAACAAGTAGCTAAAAATAAGCATCATTGAACATTGTGGGTCAAATGGGGATCTTTGTAACCTACAACTTGTTTTTTTTTTCTACGTTATTTACTCTTCTGCTGTTTAGTCTATTTTTTTTTTAAATTTAAAAGTTATACTTGGGAGTTACAGCCTTAATTCCCATATTCCATTTGGAAAATTTATTCTTCAAAAAGTCAAATATTTGTGAATTTGGATTTTTAAAAATTAATTAGCTCTTTCCCATTGATCTACTATGCAGATTCAAAATATAAATATGGATTTCATGCTTTTCAGTCAATGCAGATTTGAACATCCAAGTGATAATCTCTCAAAACACACACACACACACACACACACACACACACACCCCAAAAAACTTGCATTTTCTAGACAAAATAAAACAGTAACAAAAATCTTCTGCAAAAAGTTTACTACTAATTTGTTTTGATAAATCATATTTGACATGATACATGTATAATTCATAAATCAAATCTCATTCTCAAATTCTTTAAATCTACATAAGTGCACCAAGGAACATTTCTAAATGTATAAGGTACCAAAAAGGATTCAAAGGAGATAACCTGGTACAGTGGGTGGAGGATTGAATTTGAATCACAGTTTAAAGCCAGAACGGACCTGAGAAGTGATCTTGTCTAGCATCCCCTCTCATTTTACATATGGGGAAATTGAGGCCAGGAGAGGTTAAGTGACTTGCTCAGTGTTACAAAACCAATACTTGAGACAGGAATTGAACCCAGGTTTTCTTAACTGCAAGTCTAGCACAGTATAGTGATATTGATAGACATCAAAGGATGTACTAATATGTGATGTTGCTTCAGAATAAATCCTAGTTTTGCCACTTATGTGAGTCAACCTCTCTAGGTAACCATTTGCTCATCTTTAAAATAAAAGGATTGGATTAGATGATCTCTAAGATCCCTTTTTTGTTCTATATCTATGATACAAACATGAAATGGATCTTGTTGTTTTGAAACTAAATTAATGATGTGTTCTCTTAATAATGTCTAATTGTGACTACAGTTTTTCTTCAGATTTTAGTCCATATTCATCTGTCCTAAATATTTCTATTTTTTCTCCCTTCCAATGACTATTTCCTTTTTAAAAAAATAATAATTTGTTTAGAAGCAGACATCTGTACCATGTTACCCTAAGGGACCACAGTGAGGACACACACACACACACATACACACACACCCGTCTCTGAGCTGGTTAACAAAGGCTGCTTTCATAGAGTCCTAAACACTTCCTTAACTTTCCAACCTGGCCAACATCTTTTCTAAAGGAGCCATTAGCTGACTGAATCTTAAATGTGCTGAGAATGTCTCTGTGGTTATACTTTCCTACAGCTTGGAGAATCCCTGACTGAACCAAACTCCTCACAAAACTTTCAACAGGTTCCAGAAATCTCATACAAAGACGAACTTCACAGCTTAACAGAAAGAAAAATGGGCTTCTATATAAGGTTGGTAGAAAGTCAGGACTAATGGTAACAGCATGTATTTACCTGGTGCTTTACAGCTAATTGGGCATTTTCACATTCATCATCTGAGGTAGGTCTACATGGTATAGTATCCATATTGTGTCCTGGAAACATCACTGTATTTGAGATTCAAGAAACCTGGGTTCAAATCTTGGCCTTACATTTCATGAGCTCTGTGACTTTGAACAGAGCATTTCCCAATCTACTCCCTAGTTTCTTCATCTATGAAGACTATGTGGCTGGACTTGATGATCTCTAACATCCCCTCCAGTTCTAAATCCTATGACATACCAAGAAATCTATGAGGTAGTACAGATACTTATCTTTTTAAATAGATGATAAAACAGATCGAGAGGTTAATGACTGGCCCAAAGCCAAGATTAGAATTTGGTTCCTCTGACAAGGAGAGAGGAGAGAGAGAGAGAGAGAGAGAGAGAGAGAGAGAGAG